ATTTGAAGCCGATCGTCGAGGAACTGAAAGATCTGGAGAAGAAAGTAGAGAAACTTCAGTTTTTTGAGAACGAAATTGAGCAGTCAGCATATTATCTTAATCAGCTAGGAAAGAACCACATAAAGTCACTGCAGCACAAGGAACTGATGGACAAGGTTGAAGACTATTACAAAAAGATCGCTAAATACGAACGCTACATTCTCAGCAAGATTCACACAGAACTGTGATTCGCACCATGTGACTTTGTTCATTGTCGTCTGAAAATCGAGCGAACATCGCTTAATACTCTTATGATGGTTTGAGCTATTTTGATGGTTCTGCTGTATATTGTTTGCTGTTTTTTATGTGTATGAAGTTTATTTTTATCGCTCAAATCTTTTATGCAGTGAAGTAAACTTTCGGCAAGTATTTTACACAAACCTGTATTGCTGCGTTTAGTTCGTGCAAATACCTGCTACTTTGAACCGTTTTGTCCAATGCTTTTTACATCTGTTTTGCTTAAGAGCACGAAACGCAATTATGTCTGCCGGCGCCAGGCCGTCGCCTGGAAAATCCGGCTCTGGTGGTGACGCCGAGCAGGGCAGTCGAACGTCAGTTTCCGGAAGCCAGTGCAGCGGGAGTGAGTCGACAAACAGTGGTTCAGCATTCGCCCCGGGCGAAAACGAAGGTCGACGAGAGCTTTGTGTGGCTCACGTCGTCGAGCTTGAAAGACAGTTTCAAGATCTGCGAGAAAAACTTTACCAGGAGAAATTGTATTTGAATCACGTACGGCAAAGCCAAGTCAGAAATGAGACCTCAAGTGAATATGTCAAGGGACTGCGGTCACTCGAAGCATCTCACGAAGAGCGGTATGATAGTGTTCTTTCATCACATTTTTGTCTGTTTCTTTGTTCTGACATTGAAAATTTAAGTCGCTCTTCGTCTAATGGTTCAAATAGTCACTGCAAGTGTATGGATCAGTTACCCGTAAAGGTGCATCTAATTTTGAAATATTAACGCGAATATGTGAACCGCTAACATAATAGCAGCAAAAGCTAACTTTTGTTGGGAAACTTGTCTATTGAGTAATGATATATGAGGGCAACTACGATTATAGATGCTTCCAGTGGTTGTTGAAACATGTTCTAACTGACGAGTATTGCTGTTCGGTTCTTGCACCGCAAAAGTGCTGTTATCGTTGAATCTTTTGCCAGCTTAAATTTTTTGGACTGCTGGATTTAAAGAAGCCACAAGCCGCCTATCCCTGTAAGCCTGAGAGAAGACGGGTACGAGGTGCTGTCGCTAACGGTAGTAAAATCCGACGTTACTGTTAAACCTAAATTTTTGTTGAGTAATCATTTGTTTAAGTAATTTGAATATTAACGACGTTATTTCGTCACTTTGTTGCTCTTGGATCAGAATCTGAAACAGAGTATTTAAACAGGCCGTAACTGCATACTGTTTTTAATTTTTTTGCGGCTCTGAAAATTAGCATTTCCTTTATGCGGGAGATTAAGACTATGGTCTTCGTGTTTCTTGGAGATTGCTCCGCATAAATACCATATTTCGCATGCTACTAGTGTTTCGAGTTATATTTGGCTGTTTGTCAAGTCAAAGTATAGTTGTAAAAGCAGTTTTAACAAAATTCAAAGTCCGAGTTACCGGTGAGGGTGGTTTGACTTAAAGCTGATTAATTTGGATTAATATGTGACCTGCAGATGTTGGTCATGTTAATGTCATTTTCATTGTTAAATTTCTCTTGGCTCGGATGAACAGAACTTCTTTTATATTTCCAACCCTGAAATGTTTTTTAACACAGTTCTGCTGTTGTGCTGCCATTCTGTTTCGTATTTTTGATAACGCAGTTTCGCACTACCGCATTGTTGATTTCTCATTCTGCCTTGATGAGAGTATCTTTCGTTTGTTTCATGCCTCGTCCTTATCGTACGTTGCGTTTTTCTTTTAAGTCAGCGTTGTTTTATATTATCTTTTATGTTTGGGCACGTGTTCTTTTGTTTTTTCTCATGAAGCAGCCTGTTTCCCTAAAAATCGTAACCACATTTGCCAAGAATGCAATAGATCCTTCATTGTAGATGTTCGTTACCAGTCCAGATTTACTAAGCTCATCCCGGTGAAGATGGTCATGACACGCGGGCCGAAGCGTCAGTAGTGCTTTTTCTGATAAGTCAGTCATTTGCGTGTGTAATGTAAAACTGTGTTTATCTTAATCGTGTATATTGCTTGTAACCTTACTATAAATGGACAGATCCTTCCGCATTAGCTGCCTAACAGATATTCTGTTCAGTTGTGTTCAGGCATATACATATGATGTATTTGACTCGTTCATTTATTCGCTTAGATTGGCATCCTGACATTCATGTAATTGAACTCTTCTGGTACATGATGGCTAGCAAGTTTTGGAAGTCTTCTTTTATGGTTTTTGTTTCCTCTTGGTAGTGTACCCTGTTTAACTTCCAATCCACTTGTTTGAATTGTTTATGACGAATGTATTCGAGTACTGGTTTTGCTCCAGATCGGTCACAAGGATGTTCTCATGATGAAGAAAGAAGGAGTTCTCGTCAGTTCGTGTGCGTCTCGTTACAACTTCATCACCATTCTATTGCAACATTGCCTTTATACACAAAATACTCTAAATGCATCAAGAACAGCCATGACTCCGAGACCAAAACAACTTGTATCCAAAAAAGCGGGGATGCAACTAAACCAAGTTTAGCCCTACCCACAGATAGCTCGCTTCCTTGAGATGCAAGATCGATGCGTATCGTGCTCCAAATTCAGTGGTTGCGTACTCCCTGAATCGGAACTAAACGATGTACATAACTTACCCCATATTGTGTACCCCACAATGGCCACTAGAATAAAACTAGTTTTTGATACCGTTGGTAAGAATAACAGTCGCTTGACAATTCTTTGAATTTTACACGGCGTGATCACTCTGTCTCCTTGCTTCTAGTAGCCTTTTAATATTCATTTCTTCTAACTTTTTGCTCCTTTTGTGCAAGTATGCTGGAGCGATTTGAAAAGTCTAAATTTATCGATTTAAGAAAAGTTTCAAGGTGAAAGATCTTCTGTCCATCACGAGAAACAAGAAAATAATTTTATTTACGAGAGTTCCAATGTTTCGATCAGCGTCAGAAAAGTTTACTGCGGTTGTTTGTAGTTTTGTTTCTTCAGTGTTGTTCGCGCTTGTTTCACTTCTATGTTTAGGGTACGAGCGGCACAGGAGTTACGACGACTGCAATTAAAGAATATTCAAAACCTGTACGACGGGGAAGTGTATGCAGCGAAAACTGATTTGAAAGCTCGAAAACGTGCGTTACTCGAACAGCTGAAGGAAAAGATTAACAAGGACATGACTCAACTACATAGTGACATGAAAACGGCGAATATGGGACTCGACTTTTGGCTGTCTGAAAAGGGAAGAGGTGCTGCTAGGAACCGAGACAGTAGCCTAGGTAACGGAGGTGATAAAGTGAAGGCGTCTCAAACCGGTGCCGAAAAGCGCAGGAGACCGACCATTGTCTATGGCCCTTACCTAGTGTACCATCTGCGCGATTCAGCGATTAACGAAGATTTGCAGATCATTCGCAAAGCCATCATTGAGTCAGAGGTTCAGAACAAATCTGGGTCGTTTTTTGAAGGCCATGTTGCTGGTGATATATAGAGCTTATTGTTGCTCATTGATACATGGCCTAAGACCGGAAAAGCACTGTGTTTGAGCTTGTCATTGTAGCGTATATTGTCCAGTTTTCACTGATTATGCAGTTTAAATTTTTTGTCTCATTTTTTGTTGTCTTAGTGAAACGGTACGAGATTCTCTCATACTTGCGGTACATATTCGTAAAAAGTCTTTTTGACGTTGTCAGTACTTTAGATCGCTGATGGAGTTGCTCAAAGGGGAGGAATACTGGCAGGTGCAACCGAGGCCAGCATGTTGCGTGAAGTTCCGTAACGATGCCGGCGAGAAGGCCTTCATCAACGTATGCACATGTTCTGAGCTTCCGCATCCTCGATACCTTACCGAGGAGGAACTGATCGCGGTTTTGCAGTCTAATGTTGAGTTTCGCATCCCGCTTAGCGTCAGTGACGTTCACTACGAATTCGACAAAGCCGGAAAACAGTGTATGGTGTTCGATGTGATAGTCAATGACGAGTTCTACCGTAACAAAATAAAAACCAGCGAGGTGTTCAAGACATACTTCATAATGGTCGCCGTGGACGCTATCGAACAGAAGTTACATGTCAAGCTCGATCGCAACAACTGGGTGCTTCTGCGTAATCGTAAGT